GTACACCGGCTGGGCGTACTCCCACGATTTCTCAACAATCTGGCGCAGGGCAAATATATGGTCAGAGGTTATACGTACAACTCTGATGAAATAAATTAAAGCAGTCTATTCGTCTTCGATGAACAGTCAGTTCATCACTGAACAGCGCAAATTGCACCAAGCTGTTTCAATTTTCTCATTTTTCAATTACTGTTAAGGTCTTCAAAGGGTTTACTACACATAAATATATTATTAAACAAATTTTCACCAAGCTGGATCTATGCTGATGGGACACCAGGTAATAACCGCGACTAGCAGTCGTCAATGTCTTTGCTTATGCCACGATCTTAAGGTTTAAATAGGATCAATGAAATGTTTATACGTACTAAATTTCAAGCCGAAAGATTTAGATGCAATTAAATTTGGATCTTCCTCACTAACTCTTTTATTGTTTTCTTTCAGATGGATGACAAGTCCTCCCTGTTGTCTTTTTTAAGATTTTCACATGCATGTATCTACAGTGCGGCTTCTTGTACTATCCTCCACGCGATGCCCCGTTATGATTTTTCCCAGTCAGTGATATGACTTTCTTTGACCGCGTGTTCTATTAATGCGGATTTTTTTTCGCATTCTGCTTTTGTTTCTGCCAGGTACTTCGTCTACTTCCTCAGACACTGATTTTTTTTCTTGTTTGTATTTTCTTCTATCACTTTTCACTCCTATTCCATCATGTGAGTTCGAGTGGTGCTATTTCTTCCCGTCTACGAGTCTACTTCCGATTTCCTCAAAATACGCAGTTCCGCGTTAGCCGGGAATATTAAATATCCAGCCTTGTTTCTCCTCCTTCGTTTCTATGGTTTTTACATAAGTAAGTTGGCTGCAAAACGTGACGACAGAGTTAAACAACAACTTTCCTTCGTGGCTTCTCATGCAGACCGAACACGTAAGGGATGACGACTGTAGCAATACTTCTCGTTTTAAGCCAGTTCTACCTGGTTCTGTCGTTCGTTGTTCTTCATTTCGACTTTTCACTGCTGAGCTATTCTGGATAATCTCTTTTTAATAAACTATTCAAAAATATGCTACAACTTTTATAGAATACCATGTTCCTCAAGTTGCTTTTTCAGGCACCTGCAGACAAAGGTACATACAATTCCTTTTTCAACGCGGTGGAGGCATTTGGAGCTGTAGGGTTGGAATAGGGAGTTGTAATAAACCTCAGTGGATTAAGTTTGCCTTATTGTGTACCAGAACGTGTAGAAACGGCGAGGTGTCCGTTTTCTTCAGCTTCAATTGTGAAGGAAATGTCTGTTTGGAATAGATAATATTGAAGGTACAGAAACTGGTTCTCTGCTCCTTTCGGGAAAATGCCTAATATTTCGCGCACAGACTTTTAACACATATTTCATCCCTTTAGTTTACTGCTTGAAGCTCGGACTCCCGAGATATTCCACGAAAACTTCAGCAATGGATTATTACAGCAAGTTTTTCATTGATGCAGAGCACCGTTCAAATGAAAATAGTTATAATCT